GCATGTTAGTGAGGCTACCGTGTATACTCGTGTGTAAGCCGAGTTCTTTTCAGCACGTTTTCAACGCAGTTTTTGTGGTAAAATTAGGTGCCTTGGCTGATATGCGTGTCGGCTTATACTTGAGTGTATACGGTAAGTCTACCTGGAAGAAGCATACCAGCCTGTGGGATACAAGGATTGTCGTGAATAAAATTCAGATCCAAAGGAGGGAGCAGTACCAGAGTTCCCATTCGAACACTCAGTTTGCAGAAGGCTATGGATGACAGTGGAGGCCCCAAATCCATGTGCAGGGTCCCCACATGGATTAAGTCTCAAGTGCATCCCCTCTGGCCATAATGTAGGCATCAGAATAGCCTTGCTATCAGACAGAGAGCATTGAAAGTAGAGTATGCAGGATGCAATGACGTTAAAATGTAACACTTTATCAATTGATCTCCCTTGTGACTCATTGTTCAGTTGTTTCATTTTTAAAACGTTATGCTTTCTTTGCAATCGAGGTTTCCTCTGTTCTGTTGTTTTCTCTTGGTGTTTTGTATGGTTTTCTGTATATGTCCACGATAGTTAAATCCATAGAGATAGTGAGAGGATTAATAATTACCTAGAGGCATGGGAGGGCAGGTGGAGAAAACAAGGAGCTGAAAACAATGATGAGAAGAAAATGTTCTCGTATCGATTGTGGTGATGACTGCACAAGTCTGCTTAATGTAACTGAATAATTAAATTGTACGCTATGTGAATTCTATGCCAACAAAACGATTTTTAAAATGCAGCCCAGCTCAAACCTAAGTGAACAACAAAAAGTGATTCCGCCCAAGAAAACCCTACGGCGCATTCCCACCTGCAGCACCCGGAGAGCCGTGGTCTGAAGGGACTCCACTGCAAAGGGGTGTTTTTATGGACGGACTTGTTTCCTCACTCTGTGCTTGGAGCTGTGGTGGCCGGGTGGTTAGGTGTTGAGCTGAGAACTGCAAGGTCAGGACTTCAAAACCACCAACAGCTCCTTAGGAGAAAGACGAGGCTTTCTATACCTACCAACGGTTACAGTCTCAGAAACCCACAGGGACAGTTCTGTCCTGCCCAGAGGGCAGTGGGTTTGTCTTGTTGGTTTGGACGGGCTCTGGAGCTTTCTGAGAGCAAGTGGTGGCTCAGCAGCTCCTGCTGGTGGTGACGTCTGTTCCAACACGTCCCGCGATGGAAAATAGGTGCAGGGACGGGGTGGGCTGCGGGGTTGCTTACAGGTTGTAAATTCAAGGATTCTGCCAAGAAGAATGCGCAGTGGTTTGGGGCTTTTAAATCTTTCCAAGAGGGAAGAGTTGAGCCCATGGCCGATTGGGGTGGCCATCTTTCTCTGCAAGGTTTATGATCCCTGGGAGCCTCTGACCCCTGACTGTTCCTGTCTCTGTTCCCATCTCCTTTCTTGAAGGATGGGAGGGGTTTTAATCATCCTTAGGCTTAAATAATAATATTTAGGGCTCTGCGGGGCCTAGCACGGAAGTGGGAACGATGGCAGGGTCGCAGGCATACTTGCGAGAGATGCTAACAATCGGTGGTTTGGGAAGAGTCCCCCCCAAAACAGTACAAACTCACTCGACCTCACAGGACAGAGCAGAACGGCCCTTGTGAGTTTCCAGGACTGTAACTCTTTTTAAAAATATATTTAACTCGTTTTACTGGGGGCTCTTAAAGCTCTTATCACAATCCATCCATTGATCCATTGTGTCAAGCACATA